ACTGGGCATGGTGGTGCACACCTGTAATCCCAGCTCTTGAGAGGCTATAAACAGGTGGATCACTTTGAGTCCAATCTAGTAGTGAGACCATGAACACCCTATAGACCCTTCCCTAAAATACAAAAGAACTACAGACTTACATGCAGGTCTGAGTTCACTTCAGTGACAGCTTAGCAAAGTCAAAAAGTTGTGTGCACTTCAGTTCCCATTTGCAATGATATTTATTAAGCATATACTTTCATTAAAAATGTTTTATAGCTTATCCATTCACTTACTTAATCGACCACTCATTGTATATACTGTTCTGGCATGGAGCCAGACCCAAGAAATACAAAGATGAACAAGACCTGTGCCTTGTAAATGTATATGGCTTGCAACCTAGTAGGGAAGGCATATGACAGAAAAAGCATGCACAGAACATGATAGGAGACCAAAAAAAAAAAAAAAAAAAAAAAAAAAGTTGCCCCGATGTCCTCTGGAGAGTGTCTATGGTGCCTGTGCAAGAAGGGTGACTTAAGAAGAGAATTTTAACAGACAGGAAAGTTATCTCCTTGACACAAGGACAAAGGCACCAAATAAGCAAAGTGGAGAGCTTTGGAGAAGCTGCAACGTAAGATAGCAATCAAAGAATAGACCAGAGTTGAAAGCAAGTGTCAAACCCGCAAGAATCTTACAGTGTGAGTCCCTTGAGAGGGCTCAAAATTGTTCCTAAGAAAAGGGGAAAGTTGGTTATTGAAGGTAAGCAAGTGTAATAAACAGATTTATATTTTTAAAAGCCCAAATGACAGCTAAGTGTGATGTGCAACCTCAGATTAGGTTCTGCACTGACAAAAAGGAAAGAGAGTGTCTATGGAGGACATTAAGATAGTACCAGGACACTTAAGGAAATTTGAATTCTGTGATAGTACTGTATAAATATGGAACTTCATAGAGAGGATAATTGCATGATAGTTTTGTAGAATCTCCTTGCTCTGAGGAGACAAGGCAAAAGCCGAGCACTCAGGAGGCTGAAGCAGGAGGATGGCTGTGAGTTCAAGGCCAGCTTGGACTGCAAAGTGAGCTGAAGGCCAGCCTGAACTTATTAATAGTGAGACCCTGTCTCAAAAAGACAAAAAACAAGAATAAAGAGGTATCTTAAGGTTTACAATCACTTTTAATGGTTTCAACAGAAAAATTATTAATATACACAAATGTCTACAGTATGGAGAAGTGACACTTTTACTCGGAAGGAAAACACATTATGAGTACTAAAATATAAGAACTCAATTCTGAGTGGTCACAGAAGACAAACATCCACCACGATTTATCCTTGAATTTGTGATATGTTGGAACTCTTCCATGATTTACAAATTTTAAAATTAAGAATTAAGGGCCAGCCAGATAGTTCAGCAAACTAAAGTGCCTGCTTAGGCACAGCACAGCAGCCAGGGTTCAATCACTGGCAGGCGGAGCCAGGCCTGTCCCCAGGGCATGCTGAGATGGTGATTGAGACTAAGCATGGTGGTGAACACCTATAATTCCAGTGCTTGGGAGGCTGAAAACATGAGAATCGCTCTGAGTGCGATCTACATGGTGAAACCCTGTAGACCCAAATGCATTAAAAAAAATTAAGAATTAAAAATTTACAGCCAAAGAAAAAAGAAAAGTATAAACACAAAGTATAAAAAAGTAAAGACATATTAATATCCTGAGCTGTAAAAGGCTCAGTCATCAACTTCTGACATTGCCAATTCTGCAGATAACCCACTACTATTATGGACTGCTGGACTATATTGGATTATTTTGCTGAGTTCACACACCTACAATATTTGAATGGCAATGAAATACCCATCTTTAACAAAGCTAAACAAAAAATGGGGATATAAATGAAGGACATTTTGTAGTGAAAAAATATATATGTATCTGTATACACAAAATAGGATGGATATATAGCTACTTTCTCTTAGTTCAATGACAAGAAAGATTTGTGGTAATGGCATTTAGACAAGATATCATGTCTGCATCTTGTACTATGAGTAACTACTACAAAGACAACGATATGAAATGTATTAATTATTATAACTGTCCTACTAAAAGTTTTGAAACTAAAAAAAAAAAATTTACAGCCAGTAATTATTAAGTAGGACATTAGGCTGAGGACTGAAGTAGGAATTTCTCCCTTACACTCAGATTGTGAATTGCCATCCACACTTTTGAATTCAAAATCTTTAAGTATGAAGCACGGATGTGTCCATTTATGTGGGAAGTGTATATAGTCAAGGAGCATCATAAAGCAAAACCCTGAAATGCTCCACTAAAAAAGACCCTTCCTCCCAGTATCAACAACTAAAACTGTCCCAGACAATCTAGCATAGATTGAAATCCCCTGGCCAGTCCCTCTCCCGTATGTTTTCTTTTCAAAGATCAATCTAGCCGGTGCTTAACTAAGACATTGGGTGAATTTCTCTGTTGAGATCTGCAATATTTGTAAAGATTCCACTAAAGACTGAATGTCTTAAGGCAGTTTCCATTTCTATAAGCTAACTGCCATGCCTAATTTTACCACATATACACCAGTTTAAACTCGAGGCCTTTGAAAATCAGATAGGGTGCTAGGCATCTCTGTTACTGGTTTCATAATGTCTTCCTGTTCCCTCGGGTTTTCTTTACCTCATTTGATTTATTCTGCATGCTTGTTTCCTGAACAGGGATGCCTCATTTTAAGTGATGAGCTGAACCACACCTCTATTGTCCTTGGGGCCCGACTCTCAGGTGCAACCATAAGGACCTACAAGCACAACAGTGAGTAGCAGTGCTCTCATCTAACAGGTCCCGATTTGCTACCAGAAGAAGGAACGATTATTGATGAGGTTTTTCCTTGCTCTACAAACTGGCAACTTAGCCTGATAAAACACCATTATGTTTGTATTCACTGCTGGTTTGTTCACCTCTGGTGACCTGGGACAAATGGCTGCAGTGTATTAACCATCCAGATTGCTAGGTGTAACCCAAACACATTAATGTCACTGTTAGTGTTCTTGCAATGTGGTCTCTAGAGACATGATTGATTTCTTAGGACTGTCATTTATTATCAGAAGCGTGATAACTCTCCCCTTCTCATAACTCTGCCTTGGGAAAGTCTGAAGGCTTTTCATATTATAGTCAGGCAAAAAAAGAAGAGTTTTCAGTGTGATGCCTCCTTTTAATATCCCATATACAAAATGTTCCAATACCTGGTCCTCCTAAACTGTCCCTCTATATGTATAAAATGTCCTCTCTGACTCAGATTGGGTGCTTCAGTGGTGATCAGAAGGAGGAGAAGGCTACTTCCCCTTTAGAGACCTGAAAAAGCAGCATGGGCAGCCTTTGGAAGCACTGGGAAGAAAGTAAATGGTGGCAGGCACCTAGGCTCTCTCATCTGGCTCTGCCTCTGACTTGTGTCATTTTTTGGAAATCCTTTCATCTTTCTTTCTTGCATTCAGTTTTAGCATCTAATGAGGGTATTGAGCTAGATAATGAGTAAAAATTTCTTAGTTGAAGGTCCTGATTCTATTGTATTGTTTTCAGAGACCTCTTCTTTTTTATGTATATGTACGTGCAAGAAGACATGCTCACGTGCACACACGTGCACTCTTTTGCCTTCTGACTGCCTTTCTCTCCTTCTGTCCCTTCCTCTCCATATTTCCCTGTCTCTCTTCCTTGGCATGCTCCACCTCCCTCTATGGTAGAAACAAAGATGGAAATAAGGAAAAGGAGACTGGGAGAGAATAGAAAAAAGAATTGCCCTCAGATTTTTTTTTTGGCCCAACTCACAGCAATGTCAATCCAAAGAACCATCATCCTAACAGGGAGAAGAAAAAAATAGACCAGTGTTTTCTCAAGTGAATTCTTCTTTTAACACAAACACACTGGAGTAAAGTTCAAGGTCTGGTCCCCCAGAAGAATGAGACTGTATGCTTTTATATCCAATCTCCCACAGTGAGTCCACTGTACCTGAAAATACACTGACCGCACTTATTAATTCTCCAACAAACAATCCTGGTTTTAGTCTGTGGTAAGCCAAGATAAATTCTTTCATTTATGCTTGGTTCCTCATTGGCTATAATTGTCCTAAGTTCAAATTATTTTGGCATTGCTGGGAATCACATTTAGAGTATATATCTCTTAGGGCTTCAAGATACAGTTATCAAAAAACCAGAGCAAATATCTTTGGTATCAGTACAAGTATGCTTTGTATGCTCTTTTGACTCTTTATCAGGGCAGCTGATTCATGATCAAAGCCTTTGTCTGCTTATGAAAGAGTAAGGAAATAACCAACCAGTCTTTAACTGTAGATGGTTAAATATAATAACATAACTCCTGTGAAGACACAGTATGATTGTTAGCTATAAGAACACATTTTTTAAAAAAGAACAAATGAGTGGATCATTGTCTAATATCTTAACTACTTTTCTCATCTTTGAGACAAAAATACCCAACACCCAAGGTTAAAGGAGGAAAGGTGTATTGAGCTCAGTTTGTACAGGTTTCAGTCCATAATCACCTGGCTCCAAGGCATGGTGGCATGGCAGAGCAGCCTCACAGAGAACAGTTCATGGTGCCCACAAGGTACCAAAAACAAGAAGGGAAAAAAGACAAGACTCTTTCTGTTCCTTATATTGTATGTAGGCTGCCCACCCTAGGGCAGGTGTCGCACTCACATCCTTAACCCTAGCCAGAGTTATGCCAAGCCAATCAGTGAGCTGGTTTACTAATCACACACCCTTAATCCCAGCATCACACTCTAGATTCAGCCACCTCTGAAAGAGCCCTGTGACCACTTGAGGATTCGGAAGACATTGAGACACAAACCATACCACTTAATGTCTCATATCTTGACTCCATTCTGCTGAGAGAGATGGCCCGTACACCTAGTATTTACCTAGTTGCACAACACGGTCCTCTGGGGAACATCTTTGAAAGATGAGTGCCTATGTCCACCCTCAGGACAGCTGAGTTCATATAGCTGAGATGAGCTATCCCTGGTCTTATTAGCTTCAGTCTTCCTCTCACTATTCATTTATAAGACAGTGTCTTAGCTATCAGGAAGTCTACAATGTACTATGAAAGACAGCAATGTAGGCAGGTAACTGTTTTGAGGATCAAAGCAAACAAGGGCTGTGTTGACACTGGACTTTGGTTAAGGCTGCGGGCTTTGACCATAATCCATTTTTATACCCATAAGCATAGCTTCAATAAAACGTTGACAAACAAAATGTCAGCAAGAATATAGAAAGAGTGGAATTCTGGCCAATTGCTAGAGGAGTGTAAAATGGTATGATGCCTTTGGAAACTCTTTGGCAGAATATTAGAAAGCTAAACATATCTGTACTATGACTCATCAACACTACACTAAGTATTTACCCTTGAGAAATGAAAGTCATGGTCACAAAAAGGCTTGTGTAAGAATTTATAGCAGTTTTTTCATCATAAAAACTGGAAACAATTTGAATATCTATCAATAGGAAAATGGAAACATTTATTATTACTTATTTTTTTAATTATTTATTTATTTATTGTGTGTGTGTGTGTGTGTGTGTGTGTGTGTGGCCAGCTCAGCCCACCAGGGGGCGGGGCTGGATGGCATGTGGTGCTGGGGGATTGAACCATGGTCCCTGTACTTTGCTTGGCTTAGCTTGTTCTGAGTAGGTGCTTTAGACCACTGAGCCATCTCACCAGCCCCTATTATTACTTATTTACACATAAAATATCACTCTACAATTAAAAAGAAATGACACTAATACCATGCAGTATGGATCAATCTTAAGAAAAATATTTAGTGGAATAAACCAGACATAGAACAGTATACATATTAATATGCATTCATTTACAACTAATTCAATAACAATGTATAGTAATAGATATTACAGAAATCTAATCCAGTTGCAAGGGAGGGAATTGATAGGAAGATAAAAAAGAAACTTTCTGAAAGTGATAGAAATATGTGTTACCTTGATTAAGAAGAAGGTTACAGGGCCGGCAAGATGGCTCAGTGGAATAAATCCTTCCTGGCAAGTACAAGGGCTTGAGTTCAATCCCCAGTTCTGAAAAAAAAGGATGAAGGTTACAGTCTTATTAAAAGTAACTGAATTGTAAACTTAAGTTCTATACATTTCCAATCATGCAATTTTTGTATAAAAACTATCATTCTTAACAAATAGCATACATAAAATGGAAATAATTGATCCACTGTTTTGTAAAAGAAAAAAGTACAGCCTTGAATCCAAGTGTCTATGTTCTTATTCTATAGCATAACAGCTGATAGTCCTGGACAGATTTCTTAACTTTCTAGATCTCCATGTATTTATTCCCAAAATGAGGATAACTGTGACACCAGCTTGAGACCTGTTGAAAGAAGTATATAAAGCACTTAGCACAGAACCTGCAAATGGAAATTGCTGAATTATTTGTAGCTATTGTGCTGCTATTAGTATTCTTCTCCTCATCATTATCATATCAATTGTACCTGAGGGACAGGAGAAAGCATTATGATAAACCAAAAGGCAGAATTCACATCACCTCAGGGATTGCAGGCAATGGATAATATTTTCTGTAGACACAAAGAAGGGACTAAGAGAATGTTAAACACAGAACAACAGGACATTTCAAACAGAGACATATTTTGAAGTATAAGGAAAACAGCAAGACTTCCAGGATGGCCTGAGTGTAGAATTAAATCTCTGAAGGAGACTGAAAACTCAGACCTTGCCAAGGCAATGCAGAGCTCTGAATGTGTAATGCCAGTTCCAGAAGCACCAAGACATGCCTAGGAAACACTGCTTCATGCTCTATGTCCATACGTGCACTGGCTTGTCTAAGACCTTTAGCTATCTTCACATATGCCCAGTGGACAAAAACAGAGAGAAAGTTTTGCAAGGAACTCAAGTTTTAAATAACATTGAATGAAAAAAATGTACTTATGAGTTACGAAGACTGTTTCCAAAGTGATTCTCTCTCATACTTTTTCTACCCTACATGAGTTATTGTTTGGAGTTCAGTTCAGATTCTGCTATTGGCTAGTTTTCTGTTGGAAGTTCTATGCAGACAATGATGGTGAGGATAGATAGATAGATAGATAGATAGATAGATAGATAGATAGATAGATAGATAGATGATAGATAGATAGAGATAGGTAGATAGAGACAGACTGAAGACATGCAGATATACACACGTCTGACTAACTATGAGACTAAGTACAAGTTTTGTTAACCCCTGACTTAGCATCTGTTTTCCAGAGTATTGTCTTTATTATTAATATTAATAAAAATAATCTTCACATTCCCATCTCACAGAGTTATAAAGAATGAGCCTTCACCTACTACACAATCATAGAGTAGATGCCAGCAGCACAAATACATAAACACTAAAACAAATGTTCTAACAAAATAAAATGCAGATGAGTTATAAGAAATCACACAACAGGAAAATTTCTAAGCAGAATACTACTAAACATCTTTATTCCAAATAGTCAAATAAAGTTATAGAGCTACACAGTATGTGTTTCCACTGCTCACTGATGGCTCAAGGACACAGAGTAGTTCTATCTGCTTGTCCTGACTCAGTGTGTGCCACACTACACAGATATTTGGTCTAGCCTACAAACCCCAATCTTAGAATAACTATTCCAGTGAAATTATATCCACAGGAAAACACAGTAACTATATCAGAGAGAAATCAGACCACACTTTCACAGTGGGAGCAAAACTAAGGTCATCAGTAAGGAGTGAGCTGCCATTGTGTGTGTCCTGACATGACACTTGAAA